GCATTTATGCATGTTAGCCACAGTTGCAAAGCGCAGTGGCATTTTGCATGGAGAAAGATGATATTTTAAAGCAGATGAAATGGATTGGGGACTATTAAATAAAGTCGGGGGAGGAGGGGGGAAGTTTTTCGCGTCTCCTGACCAGCATTTGGTTTAGGTACTGCAGGCATAAAACGATAAGTAGCTGGCAAATACAGCAAAATATTTACAACAAAGGTAATGTATCATAATGTACTCTTCTTCCAGACCCATTGAACTGGTCTCTTGGAAGCTGACAGGTAGAGGGGCTAATCAAGATGAAATCATTCATAATGACTTCTGATAACCTCTAGCTTTGAACGCAGATACTCACAGTGCAGGTGGAAGTGTCAGTCTGAAGCGGGTTGCAAGGAAAGGAGATATCCCCTCATTTAAAAGCCCACCGAGGCTCTGCACAAGACGGCAGGCTGCACCCCTGGCTAGGAAGCAACTGAAAATAAATGATATGCTGCTAAAATGGAATAATCACTGCTAAAACAGTTCTAACTGTGCCCATCCTCTGAGGAAGGGAGGGAGGAAGGAAGACATTTCCGTACAAGGACTTTTGGATGTGGGAAGGCCAAGGGGTGCTCTACTGGTCCAAAACTAGGCAACACAGATGCCACCCTGCTACAAATGGTTGAAATGCTGCTGCAAAATCATAATGTGTAATATGATGCGTGACTGAGTGGCAGTGCTGGATGCGTGCAGACCTAGGAAATAAAGGATAGATGCATGTGCACACGCAAGCACACACACACACACACACACACACACACACTTGCAGTTATGGTGTGGAGGGCCACCTTCCATGAGCTCCAGCCCCTGTGGTCACAGCTCATAGTGCTTCCCACATCCTTAGAGCCCCTGTAGGAATCAGCCTGTGGGTGCCTTGCCTCTCCTTCTGTGGCTGGCTCAGTTTGGGATGGGGAGGGGGGTGTTAGAGACGGGAAGTGGCTTGCAAGAGCTGGAAGTCATGAACAGGGAATTGTGGGATAGCTGCTGGCAGCCTCCCTCCGCATGCAGCCTGCAGCACCCAGGCCACTGCCAAGCAGGGGCATCAAGCACAGGGGTTTTCACTGTGGCCGAGCAGCGGGTATGGGCTTAAGGTCAGAGACAGGGGCACTGAGCAGTGCACACCTGTGGGACTGAGGGAAGCCTACCCTGAGGATCAGCCAATCAGGAATGCTACAAGATGCAGGTAGAGCTGCTCCCCTGCCCATGCACACATACCCGCTGGTGTGCAAATGATGCCAGGTTGCTGAGGAGTGGAGGAAGTCCCGGGGGCCCAGCAGCTCTGTGAGCTGTGGGTCATTCTGCCATTATGCCCCACAGCCTGGCAGAGGGAGAAGGGAACCCTCTTCCACCATCATGCCTTGAAAAAAGGGGAAGGAGGAGAATCCCATGAAGAACCAGAATTGATACGGGGTCAAGGGCCAGGTGGACTGGACGGCAGACTGCAAGGTCTGAAGGGGGAAAACAAAGGTGCATGCGCAGCCAGCAGCCAGTCGGGCACAAATGGGGAGATAACAGGTACCCTCCCACCCCACAGCAAACGGCAGTGGGCTGACTCAAGCCCCCACCAAAACTCCTGGAAACTTTGCCTCTAGGGCCCAATGTTGGGGTCCAGTTTCATTTACATTGTGATGGTGACTTACAGTTCCCTGCTCCACTAAAAAAGAGGTGAAATGCTTTCAGCCTGTAAGTGGTTAGGAGCTGAGAAGCAGAGCAAAGAATAGGTAGTGCACAAAGGCTTCTCTCGCCAAAATCATACTTTATCATGTCTGGTGGGGCTGCAGCTCTCTGCACTATTTTAAATGTCAGCAAAACAATACTCCAGCGAGCTGTAAACAGCAACCCAGCACTTTGGCAGAGGGAGGCAACCTATAAGCTGAAGCTTTAAATGCTCAAGCAAATCCCAGGGTGCAACAAGATCTGTTGAAAGGGTTGGCAGTCTCCAACCACAGAAAAGACCTGTGGAGATCTGAAGCCAAGTGTCTATGCATTTGTGGCACAAGTGAAGACCCCAGTGCAGCATAGCTTGTGTTCCTTTCTTCTGCACTTTCTTGTGAGCAGGACCCTGCTCTGGCCGTGTGCTTTTTGTGTTTAAATCCTTTCCTATTACATCAACAAGCTTCTCTTTCACATTGTCCACTCATCTCTGACTCTAGTGTCTGAAGATCACAGCACATACAAAGAAAGACCACAGGCGTCTTCAGTTGTGAAGACTCAGAGATCATTACTGACTGTAAAGCACAGTGCTCTCTCTCCCTTTAGCCTGTGGCTGCCTGAGACAAGGTATTAACACAAACTACGCCCCCTGCCAGTAAAAGTGCCAAGATTCCTAGCGTTTTTTTATATACAGATCAGCCCACATTACTAAGTAACACATGGGGATAAAAACAAAGTGCATATTATACTCTGCTGGTAACTAGGCTGCCCCAAACCTGTTATGCATCCTGATCCCTGTGTTCCAGTTTCTTACCATACAAGTGTTGCACCCTCCCATGCTCGATGTACCTGGCTCTCCTTCTTGACGAGTGTTGCGCGTCTCGTCTCGTTCTGTTATCTTGCACCAGCTTTGGGTATGCACGTTCCAGCTGAAGCTTGCCTAAACAGTTCATACATCGGTCACTGCTCCAGTGAAGCCTACATTGGCCAATGCTTCAGCAAAGCCCTGATGAGAGCAGGATGTGTGTTGATCAATGCTTGCTCTAACTAGCCCTCCAGCAGGATATAACCTGTGTTTGAAGAGCTTGTTTTCGAGGTTCTAGCGTCTCTGAATTCTCACCACCTAGAGAACTACCTAGTGCATCTTCCTGAACAAGGCAAAAGTTTAATTGAAAGAAGAATGCTGGATCTTGCATGTCTAAAAAAGAATTTATAATCCTGAGGTTCGGCTAAAGCAGGTGAACAGTAAAAGATCATGGACGTTAATGAGACCAGGCTAGGATTTGAGCCTACACACCAATCCAAAAGCTTCAGGGTTGGGCCGTGCTACGTATATTCAATGGGTTTATGGAACGATTGCTGGAGTATGGCAATGCTGTCTGCTTTAGCTTTTCTATTGTGGCTATTATTATTTTGACATGTAAAAGAAGTCTACAGAGCCACGTGTAGAATGGAGCATCTTAATATGCAATTTGGTGTGGCACTGAGCCCACAAAAACTGGCTGCCGGGTTTTGGGCAATGAGAAAGGGAAGATGCTCTTTCAAGATGGCACTGCATTTTCATAATGTGATTCATGAATGTAAGACACATTCTTTATTTCTCTCGCGTTACTGCCATGATCATAAACTGTAGGCAACACCAAAATGTATGCCCAGCATTCCTGTGGCAACACATATGCTGCTGAGCACAAAGGCAGGACCTAAGCCATCCATGTTAGGGAATCAGACAGTTAGTAGGGGAGTGAACGAGCAGTTGTCAAACAAAACCCTGAGCAAAGTAGACAGCTAGAACAGTTTTCCCGCAGCAATTTATGTGATTTTATACTTGGCCCGGCCCTCTGAACTTCTGCTCAACGGTGAGTCAGCAGCTTGAAGATTTTTTGTTGGGTTTTTTTTTGCTTGTCAAAGCAAAACTCTAGACTACGGACTTCAAAGGGCTTTGGATCAGGACTGTGCTGAGAAATATTTCCAGGATTTGCAGAATTAATCTGTAGCAAATGCAGCTTGCCAGAAAAGGGTTCTTCATTTGACAAGTTTATTTTTCCCTCACCAGCAGTCTCAATGTAAATACATCGCGTGTAGCAGCCAAGTACAACCCCTTGCTTTGGTGCAAGTGCACCTGCTAATCTAATGGTTTGAGCTGGAGCATGGATGATGCTTATTAGATTTCAAATAATATTTGCCTAAGCGACTGTCTCAAGTATTGTCGGGTAGTCCATTTTTAAATTAGAATGATACAGAAAATGAAATTTCAGCCTATGGCAGCTGTCTTACTCATACACACCGTGACTAACAGCTCATTACTTTTTCATGAGTTTCCTAAGTAAGAAGGCTGCAGCTCTGAGTTTGTTACAGTGGGAGCAGTACCAGCACTATTGTATTACATGCCAATTATGATGGCAACCATGAGTGACAGTTGTTACAGTCACATACAATGGTTTAAAAACCATTTGGAGCACATAGGAGTCTTTGGTTTTCTACAGGCCGCGTCAAGACTCCTCTTTGCTCTCCTGGACACAGCAGCATTTAGAGCTTGGTGCTAAACACCGAAAGGAAGCTCATGACCTCTTTTCCCCAAGTCATCAGGCCCTAGACTCTCCCTGCTCCTTTTCCCATTGGACTTTCGTTATCTTTCTCCATCCCTTGGGGACTTAAATCTTCCGTGACACACATACTGAAGTGGAATGACTCCAGAACCAAGAGCAGTCTCATTTTCTGGATTCATTCCTCCGTGCTCCAATATGTTCTCCTCTGAGTCTGAATAGCATCCCTGCAGGAGCTGTAGAAATCAGTTATGTGACATTAACACATCTGAAACTTGTTTAATGTATTTTTAGGTTTTTCTAAACCAATTTTGGGGTCTGAAGTAAAGAACAGGAGCCATGCAAAGAGCCAGCTCTCTTTAGACACTCTATAGCAGGCAAACTGAGTTATGCTAAGGCTCTTAGCAAGGGTCCAGGCCTTCACGGAACTAAGCAATAAAAATGAACAGAGCGCCTTACAAGGCATTGGAAGAAGTTCTGTAATTGGAGTATTATAGGTGAGCAATGTATAGTACTTTCCCTATAAGGAAAGATAACCAAAAGTAGGATAAGATTGGTGTACTATGTGAGGCATTTGAGCCAAGGGATTAGACAATTATTAGTACAAAACTATAAAATGAGCTAATACAAAGCAATGTGTGCAAGCATGCGGTGGTTCTGGGAAGACAGACAGCTGCTGCATCCTCCGCTGGACTCTGGAAGATGCCAAACATCACACTCCCGGCAGAAGACCTGAGGCTCAGTACCCCCAACGATTACTGCTGAGAAATGGATAGATTTGTCAGGTTGTATTACAAGGAAACCTGTAATATTGTCTAGGGGTTACTAATAAAGTTTACTTGATACCATATTGGATGAGGGGCTGTGTCAATCCTTGGGGGTCTCTGGCAAAAAGAATCCTATTGGTAACAAAGTGCATCATGGATCATTGGTAATCTGAAGACCACAAATTTGGAAACCACTAGCCTAATCTTTAGACACTATTGCCTAATCTCGCCCTATACTGGAAATACATTTAAAATATGTTTTTCCATTAAATGAACACCTATTTGATAAAAATAAAATATTCCACTTTACCGTATTTGACATTTCTGCAGGTGTAAATTTAGCATCGGACGTCAGTACATTCATAACATATTTAAGCTGTTGGCTCTGTGGTCTACCAGCATGAGCTTTAGATTTGTCAACACAAAGAGTCTTGCTCAGAGGAGGAAGAAAGATCTCACAGAAGGGATGGAATGCAAGCTAATTCTTATACTTGCCTTCATCACTCTAACTGCTTCATACAGTAGGTTTCTTTGCTTTGTTTTCATATTTTAATTGACTGCTACAGAGCAGATAACCAAAAAACATAACCTAAGCAAATATTTGAAACTTAAGCCAAGATGGATTTCAACTTGTTTAGGGACTTGATGGGCTTACCAAAGAAGCCGCATTAACTGATGCAGCTATTGTTCTGTATTTACAGGAATAAATATGAAAGGTGGAAGATGCCTGTGCCTTCAGACTATGGATAAAATTGTGTTTGGTCACACACAAGTCAAAACCGTAGAAATCTTCCCTGCATCTACCTCTTGTGAAAATGTGGAAATAATGTACGATTCAGGTTTACTATAACTGAAAATACATTTTATGATCAAAGGTTCTAAACATTATTCTAAAAGGCTTTTTTTTTTTTAATGATTCTTCCAGTGTAAGTTTGAAAACTGGCAGACAAATATGCCTGGATCCTGAAGCAATGCATATTAAAACAATCTTCCAGCAGCTCATCAGGTAAGATTACTCCATCTTCTGTAACTGAGCTTTAGAGTTCCTTGTTTTGTGTCCAAAGTTTTACAGAAATAATATGCATATACCATGACAGTTTAGGGTCAGGGTATTATTACGGCACGTAAGAACCGTAGACATGTATAAGACCACATGGCTTGGAGAGAGAAAGAGAGAGAAAGAGAGACTGTCTGTGCGTGTGTGGACTCCAACCAAAGTTTGCATACTCAGAGTGAGAATACTGGGATGGGAGAAGGCAATGCAAAGATTGCAATTTTAGCTCTAGGGTTTTGCACAGGATAGTCTGTTACCAGTCAGGTCAAAACTGTTCTTTAGACTATTAAGAGTTACTCTTTTCTTTTACAGGAAGAAGGGAAAGAAAAATAATAAACCCAGCATCTGATTTTTCATCAAGAAAACGAACACAGAGAGCAAAAGCAGAGGAGTCTTTCCTAAATTAAAGCTGTGATTCAAAATGTGCAAGTAAGCCTTCGGCTGACACAGATAGATAGATAGATAAATACTATCTATCTACACATCTATCTATATATCTATATATACACACACATTTATCTACATCTTTAAAGGACAGTAGTATGCTGCAAATCACCCTTTAATGTTTAAGGGGGCTTGTTCATTAAAGAACCAAATACTGCATTTTTATTTTCTGTAACATGAGTTTTACTACAGAATATAATAAATATGAAAGCATCTTCCTGTCTGCTTTCTGTTCTTTTAGAGAAAGTTAACATCTATAAAAAAGGGTAATGGACACTTTCTGTTGACAAGCTCTGGAATGATTTAAATTAGCTGGACTTTCCAAAATATTTTTTTTAAAACTTGGGGGAATAATACCTAAGAAATCATTCAAGTGCGATGAAGGTGCCTATAGTTTCATTGACAAAGTCAAAAGGAAGAGGCTGAACACCGACAGGCAGGAATTAGCTACTGTGTGTGTGGTCAGTGACCCTGTACACGGTGTTTATACAATGGCTTTAGCTAGCTTAGTGGAAGATAATGAAGCCCAAGCCGTCCGAGCAGTACCAGTATTGGGAGGCATGAGCAGCTCCTTCGTGTTCTTTATCAGTTGCAGGGATGCATGCAATTGTTCTGTATCTTACTCTTACTACAGGAAGAACCCTTAGTACCCCCATGATGTTTTGCATAAAATTAATTTTTTGCTAATAACCTGGACTCCAGAATAAGTATCAAGTCGGGAGGAGTCAAGTAAGAGTCCATGTCCTCCCCTTCACAACTGACTAGCTGTCCTATCATTTAAAACAAAGTTAAGCAGGAGATTTAAAATGGTGGAAGAAAGGCATTAAAATGATTCTACCACGGCTAAACTATGCCTTTTCCAGTTCTCTTTCCAAGAAAGCTGAATTTGTACGGGCTGAATTTAACCACCTGCCAACGCAGCAACAGCTGCTGGCAAATGCTATAAATGATGTAAGATTTCACCAGCTCTAAATTTTAATGCAAATATATTCTTAAAGGACAATTCTGCATTTATAAAAAGCATAGGCCTTGAAGAGGCTTCCTGAGCCAAAGTCAGTGAAATACCAAGAACTTATGGCCTGTAACATGCCATAAGGTGAAGCAAGGGAAAAGAAGAGGGTACTGCCAATGTCTTGCTACTGCAGTAGCAAGGAAGTAATTGGTTAATATGTACTTTACTTACTAGCGATGAGAAAAATAAAAAACAGTATACACCACTGCCTGTATGCAGAATAGTTGTACTACGTGCACCATCTAGTGGCAGGACTGCATAGGTCTAGATTACTATGATTAAAATCTTCCAGGTCTCTTATTTCCATACTGAGTTGGATAACATTTATTAAGAGACATTTTTAAGCCAGATTCATAATTGTGTTTGGAGCCTGCAACAGTTTCACAGCCAAATGTTGTTTGAAAATAAAGACAATGGGAACCACCTGAACTGGGTGGTATTGTTCTGCAGGAAAACAGGACATCAGACTGCTAGGGGAAAAGTCAATGTATTGAATTGTAAATGGCCTTAATATAAGCTGCAAGAGTGTTTTTCTACTTTGAAATGTAACTATAAAAGGCAATACAAGTGTCTGCATTTATATTTCAAATGCTCTCACTACAAGTTAGCAAAATTTTAACTGGTGGCTGAATTGAAGAAGAGTAGACTCTTCCCTTCTCTCACTTCACCACCGGTAGAAAGAAAAAGCGCTGCAGGTCAGACTGGGTCCTCAATTATACATGTACAAACCTATGGCCTTCAATGGAATTGATCATGTGCAACTAAATTGGAACCTGAGTAGACCAGACTAGCCCTTAGAAAATAAAGAAGTGACAATGTACCTCGCAAAACTGAAGCAAGCATTTCACTGGTGCAAGTATCCTACACAACCTTACCAAACATCCTGAACATCAGGGCTAGGGACAGAAATTACTCATAAACTCATGTAAGTGACCAGAAACTGGTTCACATCTGTAACACGAGAGCAGTTCAGTGCACATAAACCGCTTTCAAGATGGCTGCAACTGGTTTAAGATAAACCTAGATGGATGTTGAATCAGACTTAACTGATTTAGGTTAAAGCAGTTTACTGAACTTGACCCAAATCCCCTCCAGATTCAAGTTAACTCAGAGTCCCCCAGCTCCCAGGATGCTTTGCACCTCTCCTGCAAATTAGTCCCTCCCCTCGCAGGTGGGCAGGCTAGCCTTGGCTTAAGCTGTCTGCTTCAGCCAAGCAGAGAAGTGTGCTCTGGTGCCCCCGCCCCTGGATTCTGGCCTGGACCACTGCAGGCATGTGGCTGCATTTCTGGAATCAAAAGTGAATGTCTGTTCACTGCTTATCTGTTCAACCTACACAACTTAGACTAACCTGAGAAGATTGGATCGATTCAGCCTTGGGTTTTTTGACTGTCTGGACTTAGCTCAGATGTTTCCAGGCATTAATCTTGACATATGCTTGCAGTAAATAGGATTGAATGAGATCTGCTGTTACTGTTGTCTAAGGAGAAATATCTGTAAGGCCAACGAAATAGTACGTAACTGTACCTTTTGAAGGCTTTAGGAAATATCTTTGATATTATACTAGGAATAAATTTAAAATAGATGACTTATATCAGAAATAATATACAAAGACCCTCACATCAAAAAGATCTGAATGTTCTTACTTTCACTTCCACAATGTCACCGACTGATTATTAAAGGATGTTCAATTGTCCAATAGCTCATAAAGGTGTTTGGGAAACCAAAAAGTCAATTTTGTCAAGAGAAGCATCAAAAGAGGAGAAACTTTTCCATAAAAATTGAAACTTAAAAGGTAACAAAATCTTTATGTACACATTTATGTTTAAGCCTTTTATAATTTTAACTGAAGCAATCTTTCTCTAAGAATCATGTTCTTTAAAATAGTATTTTCTGACCCAAGAATCACTTACCTTTTGTGTTTTTCACTCACTAAAATCCCTTGTACATACTTTACCTTAATTGGCAATTTCTGCTTTGCAGATCCTCACAACAGAAAACCCCCCCCCTCCCCCAAAAAAAAAAAACAAAAAAAAAAAAACCTGGCTTGCAGAGAAGAGAAGGTCGTTAGTACAGTGGAGTAGGGAGGCCTGTACTGTGCTAACCCAGGCTGTGTGTGCACGAGCCAAATTTGGCCCATGGGATTGTTTCATCAGCCCACTCAGCTCTGCATGGGTCTGGAAATAGGGCAGTGGAGTGGTGGCAGCAGAATGCTGTGCTGGCACACAGGACTATTCTCTGGTTGGATCCAGTATGCAGGATTGCACCCACAGACCAACCCCACACGCCAACCCAATGCTCCATCAGGCCCACAGACCAACCCCACCCATGGGATCTGGCCCACAGCGTTGAGAGCCAGAAGGTTGAACACTGCTGGCTTAACCTACTAATATGGTTCTGAACATCCTCCAAGTTGACACAGCGTTAAGATGGGAGGGCTGATGTACAACCCAGTATAGAAACAAAGGCAAACTCCACACTTCAGATCTGAAGATGGATTTCCAGATTCTGAAGGAAGCAGTATCTTGAGTTCCAGTTCATACCTCTCCAACTGGAATGATCTGAATTGGTTCCTCGTGTGCAGATTACTGTACAAAAGGATTGAGTCTTCAAGAAATTTCCGATTTTGTACTTTACTTGGGTTATTCACACAATTTATGAAATGTTTAGAAATTGGGTTAAATATAAATTACACTTCAAAAAGTTTTGAAACAGATATTGGATTTATTGGTCAGCTATGAGTAGGAAAATACATTGGTAAAGAAAAAAAGAAGACCCTGTATATAAATATAATACTAGCTAGTTAAAATTTGACCAAGAAGAAAGTTCCACTGAAGAGAACAGTAAAAGCCCTTGTTTACCATCAGACCATATTCAGTTTCCCATTTATCTTATTGAAGAGCTGCCTATAGACAAATGCAACATTCTTTGAGCTTAGTGCAGATAATGTGCTGGTTTTTGTTACATGAATGGTAAACAAGAGTTAGTCCAGTGCATTACACATTATACAGAAGTACTGTGAATAAAGACTAAGATATTCTATTTTGGACACTACTTAACATTCCAAGACACTTAAGTGTTAAAATTTATGCAACCAAAGGAAAAAAAAAAAAAGCAGTTAACATACTAAAAATACTGTGTCTGGCTGGATGAAAAAGACTCACTACTAAAGCAGTTAATTGAAACAGCTGTAAGTTTTACAGTGTAATGAGTTTCTTTTAAATGATGTTGTAATTATTCTGTCTTTAACATAGTTTCTTTTATTGCATGGCTAAAAAGCAAACCTGACACCTTAAAGCTACTTTTCTAAGCACAAATCCTAGATGAACTTATAAAAAACTTGTTTGTTAACATTAGATCAGAGTTGTATGCAAACTGTACTTGTAAAAGTAAATTGGTTTTATTGTCAAAATGCTAGCCAATTTAAAATGTTTTGAAGCCACCAAAGGGACAAAATAATTACAAACACCTTCCCCTGGAGATTTTTTATTGCCTACTTCTTTATGGTAAGAAGCTGCAATCTATATGTTGATGCTTTGTATTTGTTTCCACTTCTTTAGTTTAAGAAATACCACAAATTAAATTTAGATGCACAGAACTGTTTTGTGCGTGTAAATAAGAACTACACAAGGTATGGCAGACAGTACTTTCAAGTGGCAAAAACTGCCACAGAATATCTGATATAACTTGAATGAAATCCCTCAAACTCACCAATGTTTTCTGACTTTTGCTATGTATTTTTACAAGAAGAACACTGAAGGTATATTATGGCAACATCCAAAGCCACCTTAAAATAAAAAGTATTGCAAATAATCATATTGTAGAGCATTTACAAAGCAAACATTCTGCATTTAGTGAAGGCAGATGGTTTATTGCATTATTTTGTTTGTTATAGCTGGAAATTGAGATGTTTTAGTTAGATTTGTTTGACACAAGAAAATATTCTCTTTTAAAATTGCTTGATAAAAGTTTACCTTGGTTCAGTTTTGGCGCATCTGGTCTTTTCCTATATATTCAAAATATTTCTCCTTTAGTAGGCCTCAGAGCCACTCTTATAAGTGTTTCAAACCCAGTGAGGTCAATGAAACCTGTTCATTGCATTCAATGGGCTGGCCTGAAGGCTTCATCTAAAAAGGTGGAGAAAAAGTTATTCAAAAGTAATCCATAGATTGCAATGTGTCTAGTTAAGAACACTACAGTCTCCAAGACACAATATATCATAAAAGTTTTAATATGCTGCCATAAATTCAAATATATTTAAGACTAACAAATACAGGTGAAAAATGTATTGTGTAAAGCTCAAACCTTTAGAATCTAACAAGTGCACTCAAGCTCCAGCATCTATTTAAAGTAAATTATTCCCCTCTAAGAAATACAAAATGAATAAGTGCTTCCCTTCCCCTTCTGTAAAGCTTTCTGGACCCATTATATAATCCAGATCATCAGGAAAATAAAGAGAGTTTGCTCAGTTCGACGTGCCAATTTAGCAAGTCATCACTGGAAGTTGTCATGATGCACATTACCAACACATTGTTAAGGAAACATGAGTAAAACACTTTTTATTCACACTTTACAAAAAACCCAAAAAAACAAACAGAAAAAAATAACACTACGCATTAAGTCTACTACATCAACACTACCAGCATTTCAATGTACTGATTATAAACTGGACATGTTTGGTGTTTGCACAACTAAAAAACAAAACAAGAAAAGAATCAGGTCCCAG